TAAGAGAGACTAAGTAACGTGCAGAAGGTCACCCAGCTGTGCTCTTTCCCACTATCTGATCCGACTTTTCTGCAGACAAAAAAAGGACTTGGAGGGAAGCCCACGGCGAGTGGTGGTTTATCCTGGCAGGATTAGGAGGGACTTTAATTCTCCTTTTTGTGGGTCTTATTCCAAATTGTGTACAGGACTCTAGCTACTCTCGTGTGTGTGTGCATGTGTGTGTGTTTTCTGATTACCAAAGTTATGTTGCTTATTAGAAACTCATTATTTTTCACATTAAAAACTATAATACTGGCCGGGCGCGGTGGCTCACGCCTGTAATCCCAGCACTTTGGGAGGCCGAGGGGGACGGATCACGAGGTCAGGAGATCTAGAGCATCCTGACTAACACAGTGAAACCCCGTCTCTACTAAAAATACAAAAAATTAGCCGGGCGTGCTGGCGGGCACCTGTAGTCCCAGCTACTCAGGGGCTGAGGCAGGAGAATGGCGTGAACTCGGGAGGTGGAGGTTGCAGTGAGCCGAGATCGCGCCACTGCACTCCAGCCTGGGCGACAAAGCAAGACCCCGTCTCAAAAAAAAAAAAAAACTATAATACTGACAGCTAAACATTTAGGGGTTTGCTGTGTATACCTCCAGATTTATTTATATTACAATTATATATATTTTTTTTTAATTAAAACAATTTTTTTATAGTGACAGGGTCTCACGATGTTGCCCAGGCTGGTCTCGAATGCCTGGTCAAGCAATCCCATCACCTTCGCCTCCCAAAGTGCTGGGGTTACAGGTGTGAACCAACATGCCCTACCTAAAAATTATATATAAGTAGAAACAGACAAAAATTACATATACTTAATTTTTATGTATTTGCTACTTTAAAATATGTAATCAGATTAAACATGCTATTTTGCAGTCACTTTTCCCCTTCAAAGTATGTATTATACATCTTTATAAGAGATTACACATTTTCTGCAACTTAATTTCAATAGGTGAAAAAGATTCCACTGTTTGATAGCACCATAACCTATTTAATCCTCTACTGAAGTACATACACTTGGATCACTTCTGATTTCTTGCTCTTACAAATACTGTTGCAGGCCGGGCGCGGTGGCTCAAGCATGTAATCCCAGCACTTTGGGAGGCCAAGACGGGTGGATCCCGAGGTCAGGAGATCGAGACCATCCTGGCTAACACGGTGAAACCCCGTCTCTACTAAAAAATACAAAAAACTAGCCGGGCGTGGTGGCGGGTGCCTGTAGTCCTTGCTACTTGGGAGGCTGAGGCAGGAGAATGGCATGAACCCGGGAGGCGGAGCTTGCAGTGAGCCGAGATCCAGCCACTGCACTCCAGCCTGGGCGACAGAGCAAGACTCCGTCTCAAAAAAAAAAAAAAAAAAATACTGTTGCAATGTCTATCTTTGTATATGTCTTTCTATACAGGTATCAATACCACAATTACCTTTATAATGAAAAAATTATATAAACAGTGTAAAATACATTATAACATGCACAAAAACAGTGAACTTAGCATGTATGCACACTTACAAGGGAGTCTCTCATCTGTCTGTCCCCTTGATTGTAGGTGACCAAAAGAATCCAAGGTAGGAGGAACCTTGTCATTCAGAAAACAGTGAAAACCATCTAGTCCAAAATCCCAAAAGTGCTCCTGTGGACAAACACTAGCCAGGTTCCCCCATGGTACAAGCAGGAAAGCAAAGGGCAGAGAGGTGCTGGGACCCCTGCTGAAACTGAGATGGGGACAGAAGAGAGCAAATGCTTCTACCCTCAGCCCTGGGATCTCCAGCTCGCAGCAGCCAGTGCACACCTGAGCTCATTAAGAAAGTGGCTTCTTCTAATGAGAGGGATGACCTGCCCTCCCAGAAGTGTCAGGGAAACAGTGTGGACAGGGAAGTGAGAAGATTCTAGCTTGATTGTAGATAAATTGCTAAATGCCTCTGAGCATCAGTTTCTTCACCTATTAAATAGGGATCATATTATTTAGCCAAATGTGAGACAGGAAGAACTGCTCTACCATGGTAATGAAACTGTCTTTGCAAAATTATAACTGAGGAAATGATGCCAGTGAAAGAAATCAGACCTAACCGACTCCATCTTGCTTCTAACCTTGAAGCTGTCCGTGTTCATTCCTGGGCGTGGGCCAAACTAACTGTGGGAAAAAAATCAGTTCACGGTTTGACTCTGAAACAAAAGTGATAATAGCCCTTTCCCGAAAAGACCCTCTTCTTGAAGAAGAGGACCAGTCTGCCTTTGCAGGACTAGCAAATTAGCTACAAGATTAGAAATTACAGTGCAGGGGTCACGCAGCCTCTGGCTTCAAGAGTCTGAACTCCCCAAATTGCTCCTGGGGATAACATCACTATTGTCAAACCTCAGATCAGCCTTGAGTTATTTTGTAGACCCTACATTCGATGGATCAGTTGACACCACCCAGGCGGTAACCCAGCTCCACCAGTTCTTCCGTCACACCCAGGAATAGAAAACAGCCAGAAAAACTCACATTGACCCCCTACGATTCCATCTCCAACCTGACCAATCAGCACCCCCCACTTCCCAAGCCCCTACCCACCAGATTATCTTTAAAAACTCTGATCCCAGAATGCTTGGGGAGGCTGATTTGAGTAATAATAAAACTCCAGTCTCCTGCACAGCGGCTCTGCATACATTATTCTTTCTCCATTGCAATTCCCCTGTCTTGATAAATCAGCTCTGTTAAGGCAGTGAGCAAGGTGAACCCACGGCGTGGTTACAGTAAGGTTATTTTTATTTTCTTTTTTTTTTTAGGAACCTAGAGACACATGCCCATTTGATGAGGGCTTCGTCTTCCAGTCTGAGCCCCCACCTTCGGCCTTCACTGACTCTCCTCCCCGCATCACACTGCACTGTCCTCCTGACACTCTCCCCACACTCATCACCAACACAGCCCTTTGTTCTTGCTTCCCATCCCTCCAGCTTCTGCCTCACTTACTTTCCCTCAGCTGGGCCTGTGTGATTGTCATAGGCTGGGCAGAGTAGGTGGACAGCAATTTGTTTTTCTGGCCAGTCCAAACCCCCCTTCCTCTGAAAAACCATCTCCCCACCCACCACACTGCCTCACTGTGGGGGCAAGGGCTACTTCCGTGTTGTCACGTGACCCCACCCTCCATGCCAGAGACTGAAGACAAGCCGGGCCTATGGGAGACACCCTCCTTCGTGGGCCTCACTGCTTGGTCCAAGGATTACTATCTGGGCCAAGGGGGGGCCAATCAGAGCCCTCCCCTGGGATTATTGATGCCAAAGCCTCCAATGGTGAGTTCAGGCTCATGCAGCAGGTGGTGATGCTGGGAAAGGTGAAACTAGATGGTATCCTGAGCTTGGTGGAGAGGGTTGGTCTGGGAACCTAACCTACATGCACAGAAAGCCAAGGGCCAGGGAGACAGTCCTGGCAGCGTTTATGTTCCAGGTTCCAACTAACTTTAAAGCCCACCCAGCTGTATTTCTTCTCCAATTTGGCTCCATGATGTACACATTTTCCTGTCTGCCTTAACTCTTAGGAAGTGGGTTTTTATCATTTGCCACTAAGAGAGGCGACAAGAGGCTAGTGGTTAAGCACACAGGCTCTGGAGCCAGCTGCCTTGGTTTGAACCCCAGTTGTTCCTCTTATCAGCAGAGTGACCCTGGATAAGTCAGTCTTGCTAGGTCCCAAATCCGTCCTGCAAGATGTTATCAGTGGCCTTTGAGAATGGAATGAGTTAACACGTACCAGATGCTGGCTCAGTGCATGGTAGCTCTAGTGAAAGAACCAGGCCCCCAGCCCGATGGCAGCAGGAAATAGCAATGCTAGGCTGGGTGAAGGCAGGAGTGACAGATGGGCATTTGGCTTCCTGACTGGTCCACCTGCCAGGGTCTTTGGCACATTGGGCAGGGCGGGGGGGCGTTGGGAGTTGGGGATGCTGAAGTAACTAACCATAGGCTAAAGTGATGGTAATGCTGGAAATGAGTGTTTATTGAGTACCAACTGTGTGTGTGTTTCTTTTTTTCTCATGAAACAGAGTCTTACTCTGTTGCCCAGACTGGAGTGCAGTGGCGCAATCTCAGCTCACTGCAACTTCCGCCTCCTGGGTTCAAGCGATTCTCCTGCCTCAGCCTCCCGAGTAGCTGGGACTACAGGCGTGTGCCACCACGCCCAGCTAATTTTTGTATTTTTAGTAGAGATTGGGGTTTCGAGATGTTGGCTAGGCTGGTCTCAAACTCCTGACCTCAGGCGATCCACCCACCTTGGCCTCCCAAAGTGCTGGGATTACAGGTGTGAGTGATTGCGCCCAGCCAAAAATCATTACTTTCAAAAACGCATTGCAGCCATATAATTTGGTGATGCAGAAGTACACAGGAGAAGAGCTCAAAGCGCTTGTCTCTGCAGGTGGATGGCAAAAGGAGACACATGAGGAGATGACACACTATGTGTCACTTTGGTTAAAAAAATAAAAACATTAAAAATACAAAGAGACATTTAAAGAAGAAGGTTTTGAGCCGGGAGTGGTGGTTCACACCTGTAACCCCAGCACCTCGGGAGGCCGAGGCGGGTGGTTCACTTGTGGTCAGGAGCTCGAGACCAGCTTGGCCATCATGGTGAAAACTCATCTCAACTAAAAGTATAAAAAGTAGCCAGGCATGGCGGCAGGCACCTGTGATCCCAGCTACTTGGGAGGCTGAAACACAAGAATTACTTGAACCTGGGAGGTGGAGGTTGTGGTGAGCCAAGAACGCACCACTGCACTCCAGCCTGGGTGACAGAGCAAGACTGTCTCAAAAAAAAAATAAAATAAAACAATTTTTTAAAAAAAATGAAGAGTAGGAAGGGGAGAACTGCTGACATGCCAAGAGGGCGTAGGCGTGAGGACCTCACACCCCCACCAGGTCCACACTCCCACTGGCCTGCAGAGGCCAGGCCAACACCCCCAGCAGGCACCCTGTGGCTCCACCTTTCCCACCCTGAGTCCCTTACCCAGCCTGATGTCTCCCTCAAGGGTCATTAGCACGTTGCCAGCTTTCAGATCTCGGTGGATGATCCTCTTGCTGTGCAGGAAGTTGAGGGCTTCTAGCATCTGGCGGCAAACAACCTGTATCTGGGGCTCTGTGAGGCCTCTGTCCAGCTCTGGAAATGGAGGAGAACGGCTGTCAATTCAGGAAGCACTTGCCACAGGCAGCTGAAATGTCAGGCCCACGCCAGGGAGAAATATAAAAGCCACTACTATTAGGCCAGGCGCGGTGGCTCACACCTGTAATCCCAGCACTTTGGGAGGCCAAGGCAGGTGGATTACGAGGTCAGGAGTTCAAGGCCAGCCTGGCCAAGATGTTGAAATCCTGTCTCTACTAAAAATACAAAAATTAGCCAGGTGTGGTGGCAGGCGCCTGTAATCCCAGCTACTCACGAGGCTGAGGCAGGAAAATTGCTTAAACCTGGGCAGCAGAGGTTGCAGTGAGCTGAGATCGCACCACTGCACTCCAGCCTGTGAGACACAGTGAGACTCCATCTCAAAAAAAAAAAAAAGCCACCAATATTAAGGAGTGCTCACCATGTACTGGATTCATTTCTAAGCAGGTCATGCGCACTGACCCATTTTGTCTTCATAACAGTCCTACGAAGCAGGCACAATTATTGTCCCCATTTTACAGAAGAAGAAATTGAGGCTTGGAAAGGTTAAGCCCCTTGCTCAAAGTCATGCAAGTGGGAAGTCACAGATCTGAGATTCAAACCAGGGTCTGGCTTTAGAGTTCAGGTTTGTAAACATAAGCCCAGCTGAGACACAGAGATCTGCTGTGTCTGCAGACACTGGGAGGGCACTTACTATGTGTCTGGCTCTGTGCTTGGAGCGGGAAGGCAGAGGGGACATGGAAACGGTGAGCGACACTTGGAACAGAGTGAGGTGCAGGCATGTGGGAGGTCAGAATGCGCAGGAACCCCTTATAGCTGAGGGAACTGGGAGGCTGCCCAGGAGAAATGACATTTGGGTTGTGTCTTAAAGGAACAGAATAGGTGGGGCGAGGGCACTCTAGGTCAAGGAGCCCGCAGAGGCAACGGCTGACATGAGCTGGTGTTTACAAAATGTCCACTGGGGCCGGGCGCAGTGGCTCATGCCTGTAATCCCAGCACTTTGGGAGGCAAAGGCGGATAGATCATGAGGTCAGGAGTTCAAGACCATTCTGGCCAACATGATGAAACCCTGTCTCTACTAAAAATACAAAAATTAGCTGGGCGAGGTGGTGGGTGCCTGTAATCCCAGCTACTCAGGAGGTTGAGGCAGAAGAATCGCTTGAACCCAGGAGGTGGAGGTTGCAGTGAGCCACGATCACACCACTGCACTCCAGCCTGGGTGACAGAGCGAGACTCAGTCTCTTTTTTGCCTATTAAACTTTCCACTGGCTGTTGGTGGTGGCACCAGGGGATGCGGAAAGGGAAGGGCCAGAGAGGCCAGAGGGCTGGTAGCCAAGAGTCTCTTATGTGCTAATCAGCAGGGAGACACGAGTGTACACATGCACACACGGCAGACAGCTCAATGCCACGGTCCTTCTTCCCTGAGGTTCGTAGGTTGAGTAGGTCTGAGCAGGCAGGGAGCAGGAAGGTGGGAAGCAGGAAGAATATTCCTGGAAAGGAGAACAGACTTGTGTGGTGGGAGGGGGCAGATGAAGGGAAAGTGACTCGAGGTCAGAGGTCAGCAGACCTTGACTCTGCAGGACCTCTGGGCCACGCTGTGGAGGGTGCATTTTATTTGAAATGCAGTGGGCAGTTCATGAGAGGTTCTGAGTGGGACAGACACAGTCTGGTCTTTGCATTTAAAAAAATTCCCATGGCTGAAAGCAGGGACTCAATGCTGTAGGGCCAGCTACTTAGGAGGCAAAGGTGGGAGAATCACTTGAGGCCAGGAGTTCAAGGCCAGCCTGGGCAACATAGCGAGATCCAGCTATGCTTGTAACATTTATTATGTTATAAATAAAATAAATAAACGAATAATTCCCTCTAGCACAGCAAAGAGCTTGCTGGGCAGCAGGGGCAGGGGCTCAGCTGGAGGTCATCACAGTGGTCCAGATAGCAGCCAAGGCAGAGAAAAAGACAGTTGCTCAATGGATGATTGCGGAGGTGGAGTGAGAAGATTCCAGGGTGACAGCCTTGTGCTCCGCATCCCACGGGACTGTCCTGATTGAGTCACTGTTACTACCCAAGACCGCTGTGAGCAGGGGAGCCACCTCCCTTGGCCTGCCAGGTTCCCAGGCGGTCGGCTTCTAAGCCTGGTCACCCAAGGGCACTGCTCTGAGTCCTCCCTCTGCCTACAACAGCACTGCTGTGTCCGGCTTGCCCAGTGGTGCCTGGCCAGGAATCCACAAGGCTCAGCTCTCCCAGCCAGGCCCTCAGGAGTGGTATAATAGACATGCCAGCCAGGAATGCAAGTACCAACTGCCCTGCTCTGGGAAGCCAGGTCCCAGGCCAGGGCTCCTGGATCAGGGACCCTTCTCTCTGGAGTCTGCAAGCTGCCTGCCCCCTGTCCCTGTGGCCTCATCCTGAACCTCTGTGTCTCCAGCCAGGGGCCAGGATCAGAGCCTGCATGGGCTTCAGGACCACACAGACTGAGGCTGTACCCAGGTGATGCCTCTCACTAGCTATGTGGTTACTGGCAAGTCACCCAAGCTCTCTGGCCCTTCACTTCCTGGTCTGTGAAATGGGATGATTCTAATCGACATGGGCAGGGCTCCAGCCATCAGCCATGTCCAGTTCTCAGTGCGGAAAATAGGTAATAAAAGGGGATTATTGCTATGTTGGTTCTAAGATGAGTCCAGGACTGGAATATCTGCCGCAATTTTTTTAATGGCAAAAATGTGTCTTGCTTATGTCTAATTTACTGATATAAATGAAATAGGAATGATAAAAATACTGATGGTGATGATGAAGATAATTATGATCTAATCACCATCATTTTTTGAGCCCTTATAATGTGCCAGGCATGAGGATAAGGACACGGTGCATATTGTCATTTAATCCTCATAGTAACCCAGTGAGGTGGGTACGATACACTCTTTAATTCAGTTTGGTTGTTGTTGGGTTTCCTTCCTTCCTCCCTTCCTCCCTCCTTCCTTCCCTCCTTCCCTCCCTCCTTCCCTCCCTCCTTCCTTCCCTCCTTCCTTCCCTCCTTCCTTCCCTCCTTCCTTCCCTCCTTCCTTCCCTTCCTTCCTCCCTCCCTCCCTCCCTTCTCTCTTTCTCTCTTTCTCCCTCCCTCCTTCCCTCCCTCTCTCCCTCTCTCTTTCTGTCTTTCTCTCTCTCTCTCTGTTTCTTTCTTTCTCTCTCAAGTCTTGCTGTGTTGCCTAGGCTGGAGTGCAGTAGCATGACCTTGGCTCACTACAACCTCCACCTCCTGGGTTCAAGCGATTCTCCTGCCTCAGCCTCCCTAGTAGCTGGGATGACAGGCATGTGCCACTATGCCAGGCTAATTTTTTTGTATTATTGGTAGAGACGGGGTTTCACCATGTTGGCCAGGCTGATTTTGAACTCCTGACCTCAGGTGATCCACCCACCTTGGCCTCCCAAAGTGCTGGGATTACAGGCGTGAGCCACTGTGCCCAGCCTAATTTTGTTTTGTTTGTTTGAGACGGGGTCCCACTCTGTTGCCCAGGCTGGAGTGCAGTGGATCATGGCCCACCACAGCCTCGACCTCCCAGGCTCAAGCAATCTTCTGACCTCGGCCTCCTGAGTAGCTGGAACCACAGGTGTGTGCCACCACACTCAGCTAGTTTATAAAAAAATTTTTTTGGCTGGGCGTGGTGGTTCACGCCTGTAATCCCAGTACTTTGGGAGGCCGAGGTGGGCGGATCACCTGAGGTTGGAAGTTCAAGACCAGCCTGACCAACATGGAGAAACCCCATCTCCACTAAAAATACAAAATTAGCCGGGCGTGGTGGCGCATGCCTATAATCCCAGCCACTTGGGAGGCTGAGGCAGAAGAATCGATTGAACCCAGGAGGTGGAGGTTGCAGTGAGCCGAGATTGCGCCATTGCACAATTGTTGCCTGGGCAACAAGAGCAAAACTCTGTCTCAAAATAAATAAATAAATAATTTTTTGTTTTGTGGAGACAGAGTCTCACTACGTTGTCCAAGCTGGTAGTCTTGGACTTCTAGCCACAAGCAATCTCCTACCTTGGTTTCCCAAAGCGTTGGGATTACAGGCATGTGCCACTATGCCTAGCAGATGCTTTTTTTTTTTTTTTGAGACAGAGTCTCTGTCACCCAGGCTGGAATTCAGTGGCATGATCTTGGCTCACTGCAACCTCTGCCACCTGGGTTCAAATGATTCTCCTGCCTCAGCCTCCCGAGTAGCTGGGATTACAGGGACCTGCCGCCGTACCCAGCTAATTTTTGTATTTTTAGTACAGATGGGCTTTCACTGTCTTGGCCAGGCTGGTCTTGAACTCCTGACCTCATGATCTACCCGCCGCAGCCTCCCAAAGTGCTGGCGTTACAGGCATGACCCACCACACCCGGCCTGATACACTTTTTAAAGTCAGAATTATTGAGGTATAATTTACATATGGAAAAAAATCACTTTTTTAAAGGTATACAGTTTTATAAATTTTGACAAACATATTCAGTCATGGAACCCCCATCACAATTTAGATACAAAATCCATCCATCATCCTCCAAGTTTCCCCTGTAACCTTTGTAGTAAACTCTTCCCGTTTCCAGTCCTTATGTAATCACTCATTTGTTTTCTATGCCTATGGCCTTGACTTTTTCTAAAGTGTCATATAATTGGAATCATACAATATGCAGCCTTTTGAGTCCAATACATTTTTTTTTTTTTTTTTTTTTTTTTGAGACGGAGTCTTGCTCTGTCGCCAAGGCTGGAGTGCAGTGGCCGGATCTCGGCTCACTGCAAGCTCTGCCTCCCAGGTTCCCGCCATTCTCCTGCCTCAGCCTCCCAAGTAGCTGGGACTACAGGCGCCCGCCACCTCGACCGGCTAGTTTTTTGTATTTTTTTAGTAGAGACGGGGTTTCACCGTGTTAGCCAGGATGGTCTTGATCTCCTGACCTCGTGATCTGCCCGTCTCGGCCTCCCAAAGTGCTGGGATTACAGGCTTGAGCCACTGCGCCCGGCCCCAATACATTTTTAGAAACAGTTTTTAATTACTCAGCAATGCATGAATACCTTCTCCTTATTACAGAAACTACAACACTGCAAAGTCCCCTTTGACACCACATCTAATCCTAGCCTCTCCTCCTTTCCATGATAAGCAGGTGGAGACCCAAGATGTTTAGTAGCCAGCAAGGCATGGCCAGCCATATCCATTCCCATCAGAACAGGCCCTGGGTGTTACACAGAATGGCCCCACGGTGACATACCACGTGGGCATTCTCTCCATCTCACAAAAGGGCCAGTCCTGTGCCCCAAAGCCTCCAAAAAGAGGAACCTGGAATGGACATCAGGGAATGGACCCCTGGGCCCCAAGCTCAGGCCAGTAATGCTTCCCCGCCATGCAGGGCAAAGGGGAGATGGATGGAGGAGCAGAAAGCCCCTCTAAGCAGGGCAGGCATCTGCAGGAAAGTCAACCCTAAACACACAGCTGCAACGAGGACCTGGCTCTGAACCTGTCGGCTGTTCTCATTTCAGCTTCTCTTCATACATCACGATTTCCAAAATGTTCCTTTAACTGCTGCCACCAACAGGGGGAAAGCTGCCTAGGGCTGGAGCAGTCAGGGCCACGAGGAGAACTGGAATGGGAGCCAGAGCAGGGTTTATCTGCTGGCTGAGCTGTAGTCTACGGTCACGCCCCAGCTGTGAATGAGGTCGAGGACACAGTACACTTCAATGCCTTTTCCATCTCTGATACTCCCCTCCAGCTAAGCTCATTCAGTTAAGCTGCATACCAGGGGACGCAGAGGGTGCTAGCTGGCTTCCATTTCCCCCTTCTTTTTTTGGTATCAGAACATATAGGTACCCAGCTTAAAAAACCACATTCCCCAGCCTCCATTCCAGCTGTGTGTGATATGCCACAGCCAATGAGACATAAATCAAGGTGTCACATGGAGCTTTTCTGAAGTCTCTTTAAAAGAGTCTTCAGTGTGGGGTAGGGATAGGTGGTTATTCTACCCTCTTGTCTTCCATCCTGCTGCTTGGAATTCAGATGTGATGGCTGGAGCTCCCACGCCATCTTGTCATCAAGGGCAGAAAACCAGCATGAGAATGGGGCTAACACAGAGGATAGGGGGCCAAGAGTTGGATAAAGAAATCAAGTCCATATCATAACTATTTATTTTTATTATTTTTTTTTTTTTGAGGCAGGGTCTCACTCTGTCACCTGGGCTGGAGTGCACTGGCATGATCTTAGTTCACTGCAACCTCTGCTTCCTGGGCTCAAGCAATCCTCCAGCCTCAGCCTCCCAAGTAGCTGGGCTTACAGGCGCAAACCACTAATGCCCAGATCATTTTTGTCTTTTTTGTAGAGACGGGGTTTTGCCCTGTTGCCCAGGCTGGTCTCAAACTCCTGAGCTCAAAGTGATCCACCTGCCTCGGCCTGCCAAAGTGCTAGGATTACAGGTGTGAGCCACCACACTCCACCCCTTATCATAACTCTTTAAAACTCCTGGAACAAGCTGTGCCTGAAGCTAGCCATCCTTGAAGTCTTCAGTTATTTGTGCAAATAAATTCCACCTCCCACATCCCCCACCTTTCCCCCACCTAAAAAAGTTTGAGTATTTTGGCTCCTTATAACCTAAAGTCTGAATTCATACCAGATTATCACTTTTATACTGTTAGATTCTATCTCCCAAATGATAATCTTCAAAGGCAGTGCCTGCCTGCTGAGAGAAGGCACACCCAAGAGCCATATAACATGTGCCATGTATCCTCCCCCGTACTGGCGTCTACCTGGGAACTCGATGGGGCAGTAAGTGGCTCTGTAACGAAGGCTTGTGGGTCCTATATTTCCTTTTTTTTTGAGACGGAGTCTTGCTCTGTCACCCAGGCTGGAGTGCAGTGGCGCAATCTCTGCTCACTGCAAGCACCGCCTCCCAGGTTCACGCCATTCTCCTGCTTCAGCCTCCCGAGTAGCTGGGACTACAGGTGCCCACCACCACTCCCAGCTATTTTTTTTGTATTTTTAGTAGAGATGGGGTTTCACTGTGTTAGCCAGGATGGTCTTGATCTCCTGACCTCGTGATCCGCCCACCTCGGCCTTCCAAAGTGCTGGGATTACAGGCGTGAGGCACCGCGCAAGCCCCTGTGGGTCCAACATTTCTACAGCCCGGGATGGGGATGGACTACTGTAAATTTCACACATTCCTGACATGGGTTTGGATCATAATCCTAAAAGACATAATCTCAAATACCATAATCCCAAATGCTGAAATCCCCAAAGATCAAAATCCCTAAAGTCTAAAATCCTAAAAATCTCAATCACAAGATAGTTGTATCCTGTTAGGCCAACTCTTACAAACGGTCTCCGTGCAACTGCCCATAATCTCTCCCTGCAATACACTTGGTCCTATGTTAAATTTGAAAAAACTAAATGGTCTTTAGCATATATAAATAAATATACGTCTATATTTTCCCACTGTTTTAAATAGTCAGCATTACTTTTTACAATTCACTATGCTATGTATTTCATCTTCACATCATTTTCGATGCTGCAGGTATAAATGGTGTAGAGACTTGGAGAGAGTTCTAATTCCTTTTATGCGTTTGTTGCAAATTTGACTCTCTGAAAGTGTATTATCTCGGCATTGCCGGTGTGTAAGCACTGTGCATGTATGTAAAAATGTTGAAAGTTCCTCAGTGAATATAGGGATGTCCTTTTGGTACATCTGCATTTGTGAAAGATAAACTTTCTCCAGATTCCGGCTCTTTCGGCATCTGCATATGCCCTAGTGAGCCGCTGAGGGTTTTGGTCGATCTCACCAACAGGCTTCGGTTGTTCATTACAGTATTTCAGACAACAGCTATAAAGCTGTATGTCCACAATCACCAATCCTGGTGATATGCATTTATACATTTCCCTTTTTGACCTATTTCTTTATGGGTGTGGGTCATCTGCTAATCATTTTTTTCTTTTTTTTGAGATGGAGTCTCACTCTGTCACCCAGGCTAGAGTGCTGTGGCATCATCTCGGCTCACTGCAACCTTTACCTCCTGGGTTCAAGTGATTCTCTTGCCTCAGCCTCCCAAGTAGCTGAGATTACAGGTGCCTGCCACCACGCCCATCTAATTTCCATATATTTAGTAGAGATGGGGTTTTGCCACGTTGGCCAGGCTGGTCTCAAACTCGTGGCCTCAGGTGATCTGCCCACCTCGGCCTCCCAAAGTGCTGGGACCACAGGCGTGAGCCACCACGCCCGGCCAGTCTGTTCATAATTGTTACACCTGTGCAACCATCCTCGGTATAGCTGTTTACGCATGCAAAATATGTACGTTATTACTGACTATTTGACAGTGTAAAGTGGCCTGTGAAGCACCTTCATGTTTTTATGTTTCTCAAATTCCCCTTTAAAATATAAATAAATACCAAGAATTTTTTAAAAAGTTTTTTAGAATTATATTTTTGGGATTTTGATCTTTCAGGATAGTACTTGACAGGATTTGAGACTTTGGGCATTTTGCTCTTTTGGGATTTCAACATTCAGGTTTATGGCACTGAAGACTGTGTCAGGATTACGATTGGCTCCCTCCTGAGGTAAACTCCGGGAAAATACCTTGAATGGTATGACATTACACTGAGCACCTCTCCTCTTCTGGGCCATCCCAGAATCCTTGACATGTCACTCAACCTTCCAGGCCTCTCCTCAGCCTCTCTGCACTCCATGCAGGGTGGCATGAGCCGGGGATGCTGTGGGACGGGCCATGGTTAGGAGTGGGTCAGCCAGACCTGGGTTCACAGCTCTGCTGTGTGATCTGGGTGAGTCCCTTAACCTTTCAAGTGTCAGCCCAATCAAAAATAAATGTGATACTTACCTGTCATTCCAGCACTTTGGGAGGCTGAGGTGGGTGGATCACCCGAGGTCAGGAGTTCGAGACCAGTCTGGCCAACATGGTGAAACCCCATCACTACTAACATACAAAAATTAGCTGGGCGTGGTGGTAGCCACTTATAGTCACAGCTACTTGAGAGGCTGGGGCAGGAGAATCACCTGAACCTGGGAGGTGGAGATTATAGTGAGCTGAGATTGTGCCACCGCACTCCAGCCTGGGCAAGAGAACGAGACTCCATCTCAAAATAAATAAATAAATAAATAAAATACTCTTCCTGATTTTATACCTGAGGATTAGAGGAGGACCACATATGGGAACGTGGCTACCACACTCTCTGGCATATAGTGACTATTCACAAAGGAATGGCCACTACTAACATTTCACTGTGGTCATCGTCATTGTTATTGCTCAAGCTTGCCCAGGACATTGAGACCTGACACTGTCCCCACAGAGCATTTACTGAATGTGTGGGTATCCCCACTTTTCAACAACCTTCCATGGGTATCTCGATTTCACCTCTTGAGAGTGCTGTGGGGTCCAGCAAAGAAGGCATCACACCCATCTTAGGTCAAGAGGCCTCAAGAGGGAGAGTGGCCAGTTCAAGGACACACGGCTTCTGGAATAGGGAGTGACGGTCTTCCAGCGAATGTCCTGCATTCTCTTCAAGAACCCAAACCCCCGTCTCTACTAAAAATACAAAAACAAGCCGTGTGTGGTGGCACACACCTGTAATCCCAGGCTACTTGGGAGGCTGAGGCAGGAGAGTCATTTGAACCCAGGAGGCAGGGGTTGCAGTGAGTAAGCTGAGATCGCACCACTGCACTCCAGCTTGGGCAGCAGAGCAAGACTCTGTCTCAAAAAAAGAAAGAAAAAAAAGAACCCAAACCCTGCTCCTAAAAGCAGACAAAGCAGAGAGGTGCTCAAAGAGGCCATGGGAACTGATGGAGTGGGAGAATGGAGGTCCCAGTTCCCTAGACAGAGCCGTCCAGCAGCCAGGCTCAGGACTCCAAACGTGTGGTCTGGTCCCGGCAATGCAATGAATCAAGTAAGACTCACCCAGCATGATGGCGTCCACGGCTCCCCCTGGGCAGAACTCAATCATGATCTGCAGAAAACACAGGGCAAAGTGACAATGAGTGGGGCTGCCTAGCCATCAAGATGAAACCCCACAGGGCACAGCCAGGCAGGGTCCAATATGCCCAATGCCTGGGTGCCCCTGCTCCTCAGCCCCTCCTGCTCCTGCCTTGGGAACCCGTCCCCCTGCCCCAGTGGGCCTCAACCCTCACAGGAGGCTCTGACACCCAGAGGAGTTGCTTGAGTGCTTCATTTTCTGAAGAAGGAAAACTAAGTTGCTATGAAGACCCGAAGCTTCAGCAAACGGCCTCTTCAGCCAAGCCCACACCCTCCCTCCTCGCTCCCACCTGTGTGCCTGGTGCCCACCTGCCAGCTGCCCTGTTTCCTGTGCTCCACAGCCAAGAACCTCAGGACGCCTTCCCCCCGGCCAAGCTGGCCACGTCCTCTCAGAATCCCAGCACCTGTCTCAGGCTCCCTCCATCTTCCAGAGCCCTGGACCTTGCTGGCTCAGAACACCAGGGCCTCGAAGATCAGCTCAGATGGAGAAACTGAGGCCAAGAAAGGGGATGTAACTGACCAAGGCCATAGAGATTGTTCCTGGACTGGAAGCAGAGCTCCAAACCCTCAGGTCATTCATTCATTCATCATACACTGACAGGCTGCAGGCCCTGAGAGAACAGCCAGGTCCAGGCCCTCAAGGGGCTCCCAGCTTAGTGGAGGGACAGAAAGGATGATTACAGTAGAAAGGCTCTTCCAGCCCTGGTTCACTCCCATTCTTACTCTTTCTGGCCCACTCTGGGCTCTTTGCATAGATGCTTTTTCTTTTTGCTTTCTTTCTCTCTCTCTTTTTTTTTTTTTTTTTTTAGACAGTCTCGCTCTTGTCGCCCAGGCTAGCATGCAATTGGCTCTGCCTCTTAGGTTCCAGTGATTCTCCTGCCTCAGCCGCCTGAGTAGCTGGGATTAAAGGCATCTGCCACCACACCTGGCTAATATTTGTATTTTTAGTTGAGATGAGGTTTCACCATGTTGGCCAGGCTGGTCTCGAACATCTGACCTCAGGTGATCCGCCCACCCTGGCCTCCCAAAGTGCTGGGATTACAAGTGTGAGCCACCCTGCCTGACCTCTTTTTTCTTAAAGTAGGGCTACAGGTGGTTGAGGAAGGGGGATGGCATCACAAACTTCAGGACAGGCAGAATCACCTCTGAGCTTCCAGCTCCTGGCCCCTGCTTGTTGTGAAGTTCCTTCAACCCAGCTCAGCAGAGGCCCCGGAGAGTGGGGCAGTCCAGAAGACCCATGCTCTCTCTAAACAGGAAAGAAACCCTCAGCCACGGTCCAGCTGGACCAGAGACCGCTCTCCAGCCAGAGGAGGGTGGAGCAGACTCAGGAATCTGATGAGGCCTCCAGTTTGTGGCTTACCTTCCAGGGGCCTCCTGGCAACGTAAATATGACCCTGAGGTCATGTGGGTCCTATGAGGATGTGGTGATGTGTGGCTTTTGAGCCAGCCACAGCTGGGCCCATGGCCCAGGTCCACCACTCACTAGTGTGGCCGTGGACAGGTCACTTCAATCCTCTGAGACTGTGTCCTCAGCTGGAAAATGGGGCTGCTGATGCCGCTGCTCTGAACTGGGACCCCACCACCGGGCTACACTAGGGGTATAAGCCGGGCTGGGATGCAAGAAACCACAGTAGATGAAACAGGGGACTTCAACATGGGCCAAGGATACTAGAGATACTAGGTTCCAGGGGTAGCAACCATTCCAGGCCCTGCCAGGCTAGCCACATGCTGTGGAGGGCTGCATGCCATGGCAGAGAGCTGTGGAAGGCGGCACGGCCCACTTCCACGCCACTGCCTGCTGAGGAGGACGGAGGCTTTCTGGGTCACTCTGGTCCTGCCTGGTCATGAACGGGCCTGAACTCAGCTTCCCCAAGACTTCTCTCTAACACTACAGTGACCTGTCAGCCTTGAATAAAGTCATCAGAAACGGATCCATGCATGCTGATCCTGAACGCCAAGGAAGTGGTACTTCCTCCATCCGCTTGTTCACTCATTCATTCGTCCATTCATTTGTTCACTCTTACCCAACCACCATCCAACCAGCTTGTTCCCAGAGGCAAGGGAACAGACAGAGGTGACTTGGAAACAGGAAGGCAATGACCTTCTGAAGCACAGCATATCATTCTGCCTTGTAGTAATTCTCAGCTCCACAAAAGAGGAAGAAAAATTCTACTAACTGCTAGAAAAAAACCAAGTCACAACAGGTGATGATGGAGAAGAGGCAAAACTTAGTCACCATGCAAGGCCACCTACTAGCTGGGCGGCCTGTGAGATGGGGATGATACACCCTAACCCTCATGGGAATGATACGCTCATCCAGGCCTTGCCAGGTGCCTGGTTCCAGGTTGGGACTCAGTTATGTGAGCTGTCACTATGATTCTTTCCTTGAGTTCATGGGTCTGTTTTTCTCATTTATTTTTGTTTGGTTTTGAGGCGCCATGAAAGCCATCCTCTCCCCTCTCACCCAGAAACGTTCCCGTGCCATTCTATTGAATCCTTGCATATCCTGAAGTTCCATCACCAAGCCCTGGTTGGGAACCCCTGCTTAGCTTCCCTAACACCTACCACCTGTATGGCCTTGGACAACTTCCAATCCTCTCTGTAAAATGGACTAATATTACGTGGCTCTCAGATTTACCGTAAGGAACAGATGAGGTGGTACTTATAAAGACCCAGTCCTAGGCTGGGGGTGGTGGCTCACTCCTGTAATCCCAGCACATTGGGAAGCCGAGGCAGGCAGAACACCTGAGGTCGGGAGTTCGAGATCAGCCTGGCCAACATGGTGAAACCCCGTCTCTACTAAAAATACAAAAAGTAGCCAGGCGTGGTGGCGGGTGCCTGTAATCCCAGCTACTCAGGAGGCTGAGGCAGGAAAATCATTTGAACCCAGGAGGCGGAGGGTGGAGGTTGCAGTGAGCCAAGATCACACCACTGCATTCCAGTCTGGGTGACAGAGTGCGACTCTGTCTCAAAAAAAAAGACCCAGTCCTAATACACCGTGGATATGTAACCAGGTCAGACACTTCCCCCTTCTCCAACAAGGTGCCAACACAAAGGAAAATGTTGTAAACTTGGGGTCGAGTCCTGGTGTGCCACTTAATTGACTACGTGACCCTGGATAAGTCAATCTCCCTGCCCCATCTGTAAAATGGCCTAATAATCTCTTGCCTCCAACTTCATTGAGAAAGTTAAAATGAGATTCCTTACATGAGAGAACAGCATGAAAGCCAGACAGTTAATATGTGTTTGTTAAATCTCTAACAAATGAAATCACCAGAAAGTTTCATGCTTAGAGCATGTTACTTAGGCTTCCTACAAAAATATGCCTTCCTCTCTGTCTGATTCCCAGGGAAAACAAAATAAAACAAAGAAATGCTTTCCCAGAACTACAATTTATTTATGTATTTATTTTTGAGAACTAAAATTTATGGACATGCCATCAGCTGTTCTTTTTTTTTTTTGAGACGGAGTCTTGCTCTGTCTCCCAGTCTGGAGTGCAGTGGCGCTATCTCGGCTCACTGCAAGCTCCGCCTCCCAGGTTCATGCCATTCTCCTGCCTCAGTCTCCCGAGTAGCTGGGACCACAGGCATCCGCCACCACGCCCGGCTAATTTTTTGTATTTTTAGTAGAGATGGGGTTTCACCGTGTTAGCCAGGATGGTCTCGATCTCCTGACCTCGCGATCCGCCCACCTCGGTCTCCCAAAGTGCTGGGATTCCAGGCGTGAGCCACACGCCCGGCTGCCATCAGCTGTTTTTAAAGAGTCAGTATGAGAAGTGACGAAACCTAGGCAGTTCCTGCATCTTTCAGTGAAACTGTCCCTTACACAACACTCTTACACAAGGTCCCTATGCCCTCTCCAGACGTCAGCATTAGGAAAGCTCATGCATTCTGACAACCTGGCTTGCTTCCTCTTCTGCAGTTCAAGAGCTCCACAACCCCTTGAGTTTCCCTTTTATTTATTTATTTTTTTTTTGCCTTGGCTGCTGGGAAGCTCTGGGTGAAGTTCCTCAGCTTTGGTTTGACTCCCAGGTCTTACTTGCTTTTTTTAGTATCTGGGTCTTAACATTTTTACCTTCAGCTTATCAGTGGCTGGAGGACTACAGGCGACTGGTATTATAAACTTGTCCGGGTTTTTTGCAGAAATACATGGGATTTAATTAATAAAACAATAGTCTCAACAGTAACCGATAAAATAATAGTTGAATGTGTCTCCCAGAAGGCACGTGTTGGAAACTGAATCCCCAGTGTTGGGAGGTGGGGCCAACAGTAATGGGAGGTGTTTAGATCATGAGGGCTCCACCCTCATGAATGAATTAGTGCTGATTATAAAAGGGCTAGAGGCGGCCGGGCGCTGTGGCTCACGCCTGTAATCCCAGCACTTTGGGAGGTCGAGGCGGGTGAATCACAAGGTCAGGAGATTGAGACCACCCTGGCTAACACGGTGAAACCCCATCTCTACTAAAAATACAAAAAAATTAGCCTGGCATGGTGGCAGGCACCTGTAGTCCCAGCTACTTGGGAGGCTGAGGCAGGAGACTGGCGTGCACCCGGGAGGCAGAGCCTGCAGTGAGCCGAGATCAGCACCACAGCACTCCAGCCTGGGCGACAGAGTGGGTGCAGAGGGGCGACAGGCTGGAGTGCAATGGCACGATCTCGGCTCACTGCAAGCTCCACTTCCCGAGTTCACACCATTCTCCTGCCTCAGCCTCCCGAGTAGCTGGGACTACAGGCGCCGGCCACCAGGCCCAGCTAATTTTTTTTGTATTTTTAGTAGAGACGGGGTTTCACCATGTCAGCCAGGATGGTCTCGATCTCTTGATCCGCCCACCTCAGCCTACCAAAGTGCTGGGATTACAGGTGTGAGCCACCGCACCTGGCTTAGTTGTTTTTTTGTTTTTTGTTTTTTGTTTTTAATGGAAAGAACTGGCCTAGAATAACCTACTTCTACAGATATATCTATTCTTCTGATGAA